GTATGTATGTATGTATGTATGTATGTATGTATGTATGTATGTATGTATGTATGTATGTATATGTATATTATTTGTATATAGGGGAGTTAATATGTGTCTAGGGAATTTTTTGTAAGTTGTAGTAGAAAAGTTATCTCAGTTTAGAGAAATAGATTAATTTGGGGGTGGAGAGGATGGAATGTGGTTCTGTCCTCTGAACACCTGTGAGATCAGCTTTGTTTGTCCCACAGCGTCCAACAACACAACCACACTGGCTGACTTGTGGCACATGCTGGCTGAGAAAGTCTTTCCCCAGCAGACTGTGACCAAGCTGGTGAGCAGCATGAGGAGGAAATGCCAAGCTGTTGTGGCTGTGTATGGTTCTTCCACGTGCTACTGAAACCCTGGACTGTTAAAATGAATAAATTGTTAAATTACTGATGTTTTGTGTTGATGATAAACACCAAAACAAAAGGCAAAATCAGATAACTGTTTGGCAATGGGGAAGAAGATTTAACAAATTTTCATGGGCACCAGTGTTGCCAGATATATGATATTTATCATATTTACATAACAGTTTTAGGGTCTATACGATAAAAGAAAATATGCTTATTAAAAATCCAAATATATAATAGTTTTTGGCGTTTCTGTTCATCAGATACGATCATTTTTAAAGCAGCATTTTGAAATTTCCTACCTGGCAACCTGTTTGACAAATGTGGCACCATTTAAACAGGCTTTTCAGTTATATATGGTTTGTTATGACAAAGAACCAATCAGCCAAACACAAATGTCCTCACTTTTTGTACTTGTTACACTTTTACACGCAAATATTTGATTCGAAATTATTTATATTCATCTTATTAGTTTAAATGCTGACCTCATTTAGCGCATCACAGTGTGACGCTATCCTCTTGTCCAGAAACTTTAAGTCTAGTGACGTCACAGGAGTCTGCCTCCCACCGCGCACGTGTCCAACTTCTTCCACAAATTAGTCAACCTGACCTCCCTCCTCGCGCTTTAAATATCCCCGCTGAACCCAAAAGGAGGTGCACCAGAACCCGGACCGACAGGTGCTCAGAACCACCATGACAGCGACCCTCCTGCCGCTCCTGCTGCCGCTCCTCTGCTGCTGCTCGGCGGGCGCACAGGCGCAGCTGAACCCGGCCGCTGTCCGGGAACACTTCATAGCAGCGGTGGAGATCGGATGGGACTACATCCACCTGAACGATGCTGAACCGGACCAAAGGTGAACATCTCCCTTTGTCATTCAGATAGCAGCTTTTATTATGCCACATAAAGTAGAGTGAATATAAAATTAAATTCAACACCATTAGAATAAAATCTCGTAAAGTTTTAAGAGGTTTTTTTTTCCTGTCATGTTTCATATAACTAAGCATTGTTTTCTCTTCAGAGGGAGATCCAAAGTGATTCCTCAAAAGTACATCAAGGCAGTTTATAGAGAGTACACAGACCCCACATACACCATCCCGAAGCCGAGACCACCCTGGGCAGGTAAGTGTCATCCTCAGAAGTTTCATGTCGAAACTCAGTTAAAATCATTTGGTTATGAAATATTTTACTAACAACTGATGCCAAAGATTTAAGCAAAAAAAATATTGCCTATTGTGTAGAGCTCATATTGTGTGTTTGGGAGAATTCTCAGCCACAAGCATGCCCAATTTTAGATCCGCATCTGAAAATTTTGCTTGGGTTTTAGCCATTTTTGTGTTCACTAAGGTTAGTCGGCTATGGCGAACGTCTTGATTTGGTTTGACTCCAAAATTGAATCACTTGTAGATGTACACCTATTAATAATTAACTGAGATTTTCATGAAGTTACATTCAGTTGTTCGTAAGATATTTTGCTAACAGACCAACTGTGTTGACTCCATGAATTATTGCCAAAGATTTAAGCAAAAAAAAATTGCCAAGCTTTAGTGTAACTGCTCAGCCAAATTGCTACAGCAAATTTCAGCTCAATACTTGTAAACTTGGTTGCGTTTGAGCTATTTTCACATTTCCTGGAGTGGGCTTTCTATGGCGGACAAACTGAACTGTTTTATTTTTTAATGTCTTGGGGCCACAGGCATACAAGGCCCGGTGATCGTTGCCCAGGCTGGTGAAAAAGTGGTCGTCCATTTTAAAAACCTGGCCTCTCAGCCCTACAGCATCAGCCCTGTGGGGATCACCTACTGGAAACAATCTGAAGGTAAGTTCTCCGTATAAAATACATTTTATTACTCGATGTGCTGACCAAAGCTGACCGGATTAGTCAGCAGCATTCTTTGCTTTTTGCCAAAATAACGATCCCAGAAAACCTGACTCGTTTTTCTCTTGACTCACGCCGTTCAGCTTCAAAGTGGCGTTGCAGATGACACAGAGGGAAAAATGTAGACAAAGATTTGTCAAAGCTGAACGCTCAGTGCTACCGTGACGTATTTCCACATGGTTTCACTTAAAAATGAAATCTTTTTTTGTCACAAGTTTGCAAGAAACCTTTTTAAAGGTGGGGGTTTATTTAAACTGAGTATAATGAAATTGTTTCCAGAAAATAACACACTGAGAACAAAGTGTTAGCCTTTTTTTATTTTAGAGTAATAAAAAAACTGTTGCAAATGGCTCGGAAACGATGCCAGAAATAGATAGCCTCCTTGTTCTTTAGAAATTTACAGAAAGCAACGGTTATCACTATCTGCTGTGTGCAGATATTATGAAGGCTGCAGGGACAAACAGTCGGTCTTGTCTTCAGCTCTATACAGAGCAGATTTTTTTTTTTTGCAATCATGAGTAGGTTTTTTTTTAAGTTAATCTCTTTTACAGAAAGTGCTGGCGTGTGCTCTAATGCTCCCAAACCGTCACATCTTGTAAGCAGCTTGTGTCTTCTTGCCACAGATTCCAATAAAAAAGCTTTTCACAATCTGAAAAGCTGCTCTGGTCACTTCTAGGAACCAGACTTTGAGGAGCAGATTAAACAAGATGGGGGTCTCTGCAGTCAATCGGTGGGAAGTCTCTTGGGTGTGGGCGTAGTCAAAGGTTTATAGTAACTAAGTACGTTATCTTGTTGCAGTACGTAAGTCATTTTTTTCAAGATTTGTAATTTTATCAAGTATACTTTCTGTTCTGTTACATCCAAAACCTAAAAATAATACTTTTACTCCTTTGCTTTAAAATGTAACATCTAGTTACATGTTAGAATTTTTTTGACCAACTCATTATGTAACGAGTTGTTTATACACTCTAAAAAATGAAGTGTTGAATTTAATTAACCACGTTATGCCAACTGGTTCCGTTAATTTGAGTTGAGTAAATGTAAAGCAGTTTACAATAACTTATTTAGCTATTTCTTTAAATACTTTATATACAGTACTGGTTTGGATAAGCCGTGATTGGTCAGGTGGACTGGTGGGGAACGTTAAATGATTAAGTAATACTAACGGTAAAATTATTGTGAGCATGTAAATATAATTTACTGACTGTCTATTTATAATTAAAAATAGAACAATGTCTCAAATAATAATTGTGAACATGTATGGTTTATTGTCTGAATTTATGACTAATATCAATATTCATATTGAAAAATAACGATCAGATTTTTCAGGCAGGTTAGGGCAGTTTTGACAGATTTGAACTGTTACACATCCCTCCACATGTATGTCGTTCAAATTTCATGCAGCTAGCACCTTGTCTCGAGTTATGACTAAAATCGTTTTTTTTGTAAATTTAGCGATCCGATCTTCACTTCGCCCCAGCTGCCTTCACCCAAACTCCACCCGCAACTCAATCTGACCAATCACAGCTTACCCAAACTATGCTTACAACTAAGAACCTCCCACTTCCTGACTGCAGAGACCCCTGTTTGGATTAAATGTCACTGCTGTGATGATAAAGCTGAAGAAAATGTTCAAACACCATGACACGTTGATTCAGTCCCTCTATTTCGGTTTAAAACTGTGTGTGTTTATTAGGGCTGTGTTTTGGCAAGAGTTTGATGATACAACACAGGGGTCACAATATGATATATTGCGATACTGAAAGCAAGGTGATGTATTGCCACTTATTTTCTGCCAAAAGATTCCAATTTTAAAAAAACTCAGCTAAAACTAACATTTGGTTTAGCATTATACTCTCAGGCTCCTCAGAAGTGGAGGAGCCAACTGACTGGCTGACTGCTGCCAACTAGTGGTCAGAGGCTGAAATACAACACAATTTTTTAAAAACATTTTAAACCTAAATTAAAAATCTATGTGGTGCTTTTGTTTATCAAAACAGTATCAGGAAATGAAATATCACAATATTTCAATGTATCAATATTTTCTTACAGCCCTAGCATTTGTCATGCTTTTTGTAAAGTATTAAAGTATTAGTAAAGTATCAGTTATTTTTGCTCTGTCATGAGTCTGCATTTTCTTTTTATTCATCATGAAATAGAGACAGTTTTTTTCAGCATTTTACTGCCTTTTTTTTGCTGAATTAACTTGGTTTAATCCCACAGTTGCATTTATCTATTTATTTTTAGGAGCTGGTTATGATGACTCATCAGCGGGGCAGGAAAAGGAGGATGATGCGATCCCTCCCGGAGGATACTATGAGTATGTCTGGGACATCAGCCCAAGAGACGGTCCTACCATCAGAGACCCTGACTGCCTCACGTACTCCTACTCATCGCAGGTGGATGCGGTCCGAGACATGAACTCGGGCCTCATCGGGGCCCTGCTCATCTGCAAACCAAGTCAGTGAGCTGCAACTGTCTCACACAGACAACAGTCTGATTTGCTGAGTCGTTCAAAAGAAGCGATTTTTATTTGACGTACAAAATTCATTGTCTCATCTTGTCATTATGTTGGCAGTATACACTAATAATTTCTATGTTCTCACAATTTTGTCTAATTTTTTCACATTATTAATATGAATGGGAGAGCTTTAATTTAGCATAGACTCTTTTCTGGTTTGAGATTTTTTTTAACAAAGTTTATTTGTATAGGGACAAGTGTCAAGTATTTACAATACCGTCCTCTAAAACATTTATAACTTAGACGAGTTTGCAATGACAATCCCTATTCCCTTTTAGCAACATAAAAATCAAACCGTTTTAAAAGAATAAAACATTACAGTATTAAGACAATTCATAAAACATGCTTAAAAACAGATCATAATGTCATTAAAAAGGTGGCAGTGGTTCAGGATTACATAACTGGTTCTCCAAATGGTTCCAGTCAGAAATTAGTCTCAAACCTGCAGGAGGGAATTCCATATGTTAATCCCTCAAGCAGAAAAAAACTGTTTGACCCAAGAAAGTTAAAAAAAGGAACCCGACAGTGACCTACAGGCTTTGTAGGGAACTCATTAAGTTTTTTTAGTAAGCCAAGTGAGGAGGATTTACATTAAATGAAATAAACAGCTGCAGGTCGTGAGAGAATACAGTTTGTATTCTGAATATTCTCACATGAAACGTCTTGTGTCCAAACGTTTCTGCAGGTGTTTTCGATGAGGACGGCCAGCGGAGGCTCCCGGCGTTCGTCCTTCTGTTCGCAGTGTTCGACGAGACTAAAAGCTGGTACGGAGAGAAGGGAGAGAGGATAAGCAGGGAGAAGTTCAAGAGGAGCAACGGCCGAAAGAATTACCACACCATCAATGGATACATCAACTCCACGTTACCAGGTAAAGAGGCAGCCTGCCACAGCTGGAGTGCTTGTTCCGTGAAGGCGTGTTGAAATGTTAAGTGTTGCTGACTCCGGGCCTCGTGTTCAGGGACTGGAGTGGATCGGGTCTGAGCAGGGGCTTGCTCTAATTCTCCCTCTTTTTCTTTGTGCGCAGGTCTGACAATGTGTCAGAGCCGAGATCCTGTGATTTGGCACGTGATCGGGATGGGCACAGCTCCGGAAATCCACTCCATTCGGTTCCAGGATCACTCTTTGCAGGTAAACGACAAATTCAAAAATCAGTTAGAGCCAGGATCTTGATTGTTTGTCGGAGACCAACTGGTTTTTCAAAACTGGGAGGAAATAACAAGAAAAAAAACAGGTGTGTTTTTAGATGCAGTCTCACTAAAATTCTGAGAGTTTGAAGCTGACCAATTGGGCTGTGACACATTAGTTTAGTGCCCATATCTGAACTACTTCGCATTTATATCAAAATGTGTGACTTGTTTGTATTTATACACTGATAGAAGTTGGCAAAAGTAAGCTATAAATTAGTATAGTCAGACGTTAGATCATTTTAACAAAAGGGACTTCTTTTGCAATGCATTAAGTGTGTCAAACTCAGTTACACAAGGGGCCAAAATCAAAACTTCATTCAGTCTGAGGGCCAATCTCTGTCAATATTTAAGAAAAAAAATCTTGGATTTCATAGTTAAAACCAATTATTCAAATAGAAATACAAACAATCTCTTCCATTGGAAAAATAAAAACAAAGACATCATTCATTTCTTGTGCCTTACTCTCCATCAACAGCTTTTTCATGTATTATTTCGTGTTTCGTGTTTCATGTTATCAAAATCCACCAAATCATGAATTAAAGAAAATGTCACTAAAAATACAATTATTTGACTTTTAAATAAGAAAATTAATGAAGTTAACTGCTATCATGAGAAGACAGTGACCAAAAGAGAAATAAAATAACTATTTTACATTTAAAATATCATCTGAAGGACCAAATAAAATGTTAACGAAGGTTAGATTTGGCCAGTGGGCCTTACGTTTGACACATTATTGGTTGCAAGGCTGTACAAATAAGGTCAAGCACTCAGAAAAGAAATATGCCAGAAAAACTCTCTTAAATCTATTATTTTCTGTTAAAAATAACATTTACGAAATACTACATTAAATTAAATATTTTTGTTGTTGTTTTCAGGTTTTGACCCATCGTAAAGTCACAGTGGAGGTGACCCCGATGACTTTCATCACTGCAGAAATGAAACCCACCACTCTTGGGCGATTCCTCATCAGCTGTCAGATACACGCTCATCATCATGGTGAGAAGAATTAAAGCTTGACCAGTGCAGCAGGTCTTTCTTTCCTTAATCAGGTTTCAGTTTGAGAGGTAACCCGTATTATCGTTGTCCAAACAGATGGGATGAATGCTTTATTCACGGTGGAGAAATGCCCCGAGCCCATCTCTGTGCCGAAACAAGGACTTCGCAACGTCAAACACGACCAAGAGGAGGACGAGGACTATTCTGATTACACTTTTAACACCATATACCTGAAACCCAGATCCAGCAGAGGACAGCAGTCTAATATAAGAAGACATTTTATTGCTGCAGAAGAGGTGACCTGGGACTACGCTCCTCATCTCAAACCCACAGACAGGTACAGAGACAACAAGTGATGAGAATGAACATAACGTAGTGAGGCTCTAAAATGATTTTTTTTTCCCCCTTAAACCAGTAAACTGCAGTCCAGATATTTGCCTGCAGCTCCCCATCACCTCAACTACAGGTATAAAAAGGTTGTGTACGTGGAGTACACCGATGCGTCCTTCACTCAGAGGAAAAACAATGTCACGATGCTGCTGGGTCCGACGCTGAAAGGCCAAGTCAACGATCAGATCCACGTGAGTGACTCCAATCATATGGTTTGATTTGTTCATCAACTGAGTAACGCTGTTGCAAAAGCCTTTACTGTTAATCTTTTTTTTTACTTTTATTTTTTTAGATAATTTTTAAGAACTTGGCTAGTCGCCCTTTTAATATCTACCCGAACGGCCTGACGAATGTCTCCCTTCTGCAGAGATCCAGTAACGGTAAGTGTTGACATAAACCAACAACTAAAAATAGCCACATTTCAGTTGAAGATTTTTCACAATTTCAGACCTCATCAAGTTTTTAAGGAACTCCAACTAATTTCTTTTCGAGCTGCAATGTGTTTGATGGAAATTGCTGCAGGATTTTTTTTATCTGAGCTGTGCAGTTCATGGGCAAAGCAGTGTGTCAACAGTGGACAGAGGAAGTGGCCTCTGCTGCAATCTCACACTCTGGCACCTTCCCACAGGGCTTACATAAGGGGTGTTGTGGTTGTGTTTTTGACTGTAACTGCTGGGACTTTACTTGAGAACCACGCTGTGCCTTATTCTCACTGTTATTGACCCCCTCGAGTTCATTTTCAAGCCCACTGAACATTTATACCTCATACTGTATTGTGCCGCAACGAAATGCATTTTTTCTAGTTTTAGATAGAATTTTTAATGTGAGTTCAATTTGAACAGCTGATTTTTGCTGAAAGTAAATTAGCACAAGCTGAAAAGAGCCAAATAATCCAGAAAACATAAATTGCTGAAATACCAAAAGCTGTGGCAGGAGTGTCCTGAATGAGTTGAACGTTTTATAAAATTGTTAAAATATCACAAACACTGCTGAAAAAGTTGTGTGCTGAAAATTTGATATCAATATTTTTAATGATCTATTTTAAATCTGTCTCCTTTTTTCCCACATATTTTCCAGTAAACAACAGTAAACTCACAGTGGTCTGGTTGAATAGATAAAGCAACATGACTTAAAGAAAAGCTTCAATCTTCGTTAAAAACTGATTCATAAAGTTCACAGTAACTCTGTGACTGTTTATGAAGCTTTCACACTGTTGTGAATCAATCAGTTTTTTCTTCTGTCCTGTTTTCAACACAAGTTTCATTCTGCAATTTATGTGCTATTTCAACAATTTATAAATCAAAATGTTCAGCTCTTTCAGAACATTGACTTTTGGTCATGTTTTTCTCATTAAAAATAAAGGAGCTGTCTTCAACATCCTTAAAACCCTTTAAAATGTTTATAAATCTTTACTGTTCTTTTTTCTGTTTGTTCCGGTTCTGCTTTTTTCCAACTTCTTTGTGCTAATTTCATCTTCCTTCAGCTTCTCTTTAACTGATTTTAGTTTGGGTTGTTTTTTAAAGCTTTTTTCTATCATTCTGACCTTTTCTGCTATTCTTCTGATAATTCCAACTTTTTCTGCTTCTTTCAGCTTTTTCTATTTTAGGCCTTTTCTGCTTCTTTCGGCTGTTTTCTGCTAATTTCAGCTGTGTTTTTAGTTTTTAGCTGCTTTAGCTAATTTGAACTTTTTATCATCTAAATTTGCCCTTTTTGTGATAATTTCACCTTCTTACTGCTTAATACAGCAAATATGTGCTCATTCTGTTTCTTTGTGTTAATTTCAGCTGTTTCAGCTACTTTTTAAAGCTATTTTAGACTAGTTTCAGCTTTTTTATAGCTATTCATTAAATCCTTTCAGCATTAAACATTTACACTGCATTTTCACAGGAAATGCAAATTCTCTGGTACAAATTTGTCTTTATTGGCCACAATGGTAACAACTTAAATCTAATTAAACAGCAGCAGAAAACGACTTGCGCTCCATGGAAGTTCCCCCCAACAAGACATTGGGCTACATTTGGAGTCTAACAACAAATGACGGTCCCTTGGAAGGAGACCCCCAGTGTCTGACCCAGCTGTATCAAAGCACCGTCTCCCCAGAACAGGACTTGGCCTCTGGGTTGGTGGGGATGCTGCTCATCTGCAAATACAAAGCCATTGACACCAGAGGAAAACTGGTGAGGGGAACGCTCCAGCTTCTGTCGTGCGGCAAATGTTTTTTTTTTTTTTTTGTCTTATTTTTTATCTCATGTTGACCGCAGCTGGGACCTGATGACAAACTCAACCTGATATTTACTGCGTTCGATGAGAACAAGAGTTGGTATTTCAGAGAAAACATGCAGAGATCAGACCTAAAATCTTTCAACACTTCAGACCCTGAATTCTACGAGTCCAACGTCATCTACAGTGAGTATTACTGCTATTCCTGTAAGTTTTCTTTTTAAAGCAGTAGATCAGATTTATTTTTTAGGGGGTTTATGTGATAAAGTTGTGGACAATTAAGTCCTTACTTGTTGTAAAAACAAGTTAGGAGTGATCAGGACTCTGTACCACAGAGCAGACAGTGTCCCTACAAACCCAGGAGCCAGGCAGAAAGAGAAATCACACACACGACAGGCCCTGAAGCAGTGTGGTTATCCTGACTGGGCTTTCCTGAAAGCAGACAGGAAACAGACAGGATTCCATGCAACCTTCAGGTGAAAATGAAGACCCCAAACCCAGACCCAAACCAGTGGTTATTCCGTATGTTGCAGGTGTTTCGGAGAAACTGAGATGTTTATTTTCTAAACATGATGTCCCAGTGGCTTTCAAACCCCAAAACACATTACGGCAAAGGCTGGTTCACCCCAAAGATCCGGTGCCCCGGCACAAACAGAGCAATGTTGTATATGCTGTTAAGTGCCAGGAGGACTGCGACCAGTTATACATCGGGGAAACAAAGCAGCCACTGTTCAAAAGAATGTCCCAACACAGACGAGCTACATCTAATGGCCAGAACTCTGCAGTTTTCACTCATTTACAGGCCAGCGGTCACTCTTTCAGAGATGAGGATGTTCTCATTCTTGATAGGGAGGAACGTTGGTTTGAGAGAGGAGTAAAAGAAGCCATTTTTGTGAAGAAAGACCGTCCATCATTAAACAGAGGTGGAGGTCTCCATTTTCAGTTGTCCCCCTCCAACAGTGCTGCTATTGCCAGTATCACTCCACCCCCTGTTAAGAATAGGTGTTAATTAGGTGTCAACGATAGCCATGCAATGTGAGTATCAGTCACATGGAGGCAGGGCTTAAAAGCCTGAATTTTGCCTGAAACTCTCAGACTGAAGAAGTCTCTTGGAGGAGAGACGAAACGTTTCATTAAAGAAGAACCCGTCCAGAGGACCTATACAATTTTTTTCTTTTTGATTTTTTACCTGGATTACTGAGATGCATCAGGACAACTAACTTGTTGTAAACTTTTTAAATGATCTGTTAGTTTAATTCTGGATTGACAAGCTAACAGTTAGCAAAAGTGAGGCTGTAGACTAAAGTGCTGCAATCTTTAAACAACTGTAGAACCATAGAATTATATGTAAATAGTTGTGTAAGGCAAAATTAATTTGTTTAAAGATGGCAGCATTTCACTTTGCTCTGAAAAAACTCTCTCAAAAGCCTATCTGCAACAGGTAAGACACTGTTAAAGAATTAAGAGAAACCCTCTTTAGAAGATCTGATTTATTTCTGTAACATTCATAAGTGGAACTGTAAGCATAAATAAAAGCTTTGTGATTCTGTCCCCTTTCAGGCATAAATGGCGTCATGTTCCGGGGACGTGAGTTCACCATGTGTGACACTGATGTCCCCTTCTGGCACGTGGCCAACGTGGGAACCCAGAGCAACTTCCTCACCGTTTATTTCACCGGGAACCTGTTTCAGCACGATGGCCTGTACCAGTCCGTCCTCACCCTCTTCCCCATGTCTGCCATAACTGTTCCGATGGAGACAGACCTGATCGGTGAGATCCTTTATTCACATTTACATCTTTTTTCCCTCAAAAAGAAACAGGAGCTGGAGAGGCTGTAAGACTTTACTGATAGTTAGACTTTTAGTGACGATAAATGTGTTGCTTTTGGGCCAAAACTGGTTCCCAGCCCAAACACAGGAAGCGCAATGTAGGAATGGACTGAAACACCAGATGTGGAAGGTATTTTTTTATCATTCTGAGTCTCACTTTTTGCTTTCTCACAGGTGAATGGGAGATAAGTGCCTTTGACAGCAGCCTGAAGAGCCGCGGCATGAGTGTCCGTTACACGGTTCGTTCCTGTAACAGCGGCGATAACTCGCTGGTTGATGACGACCTGGATGAAGATATCTCTGATTACTACGACCAAATCCTCCTCCAGCCAAGAGGAGTAAGACCTCGGAATGGTACAGTGTTGGTCCGAGTGTGCAAGAAAGCCCTTAACACAACTGACAGTCAAAATGTCACGGTGAGCAGAAGGAAAGGCGTTAACTCTGCATGTGAGCTGAGGAGAGTGCCGGTGGAAGCGCTAAAAAGGGTAAAAGCGCCCGTAGATGCAGGAATCCCAGCTGATGTCCTGGACAAAATAGAGAAAGACGGGGACTGGACAGCTTCTGGAAATCGGACTGAACTTGGAAGAAGTCGACTGAAAAGACAGGCTGACGAAAACCAGACAGAAGAAGATGCAAATTCTGGGATCTTGCCTGAAGACGTTCTGGTAAAAAATGTTACAGAATACGTGAAAGGCGTGACTGACCCTGTTGCAGCGTTAAAACTTGAAGGAAAACGTGGAAGGGAAGAGGAAAGGCCTAAAGACAGCAATGATATCTCACTGATCAGAAAGGAATCATCGAGCAACACAGACTCAACCGAAGCTTTAATGCCGCCAAAAGACCAGGATCAAGAGTTTGTACCACAAAACCATATTTTTGCTGAACCTTTGAGGCTCCCGGATGATCTGCTGGATTTGGATTACAACTTCACTGATTTTAACCTAACTCAGATTAATCTGTCCTTGGAGTATGATGACTACAAAGATCAGGTATGTTTACTTCTGGGTATTTCTCTAGCGCCCGAGTGTCAAATTTATTTACGATGGCCATGTGAGCGTTATTAACTTCAACATTTCATGCTTAACTTCAGCTGAATAGAAAATGTTTCTTGTCTCATTGCTATGGCTGAGTACTGCTAACAAACACTAACTGAGCTCCATGTGGTATTTCTTGCATAGAAACAGTGTTTTAGCACATCCTCTTATAAACAATAAAAAAATCTACATGTACAACTGACTAAATGTGAAATAAATAATACAGAAATAATAATGAACTCTCCGATGGAATTCCCATTCATAATCGACATGCATTATGGGAGATTTAGTTTATGGTCAATGCTGGTTTTAAAGCAACTTATTTTGAGACATGAATACGAGGCTATCTAACTAAATTGATCAGGGGGTCACAGTTACTCAAAGCCAAAAGCTCAGGGGCTGGATAAGTATTATAATCTTTATTTTGTTGCACTGAATCATAAATTTAAACTTTACCATTGATATAAAAAGTATTATATATACATGTTTTTTTTGTTTAGTTGTATTTTAATTTTTTTATTGGGGGGGGGTTGGCAGGCCGGACAGAAGTCCTTGAATTTGATACGTGCTCTAGCATGATTTTAAATACCGTAAATTGAAGCAGGGATGGTGACATAGGCACTACAGGCATATGCTAAAGCTGCCATCCATCTAGGCGGTGCCACAAATAGGGCATGAAAAAAAAAATTAATATAAAATACTGATTTTATGTTGTTTTTGTAATCCAAGAATTTAATAAAATGCTCTTTAAATGGATGGAAAATGCATAGTTTTAGGTAATCTTTTATAAAAAAAAATTTTTTTGCAGGGTTTATACCCTCTGACCCTACTAGAACTGCTTCGCTCCACAGCTGCTTGTTAACATGAACAAGTGTTCCTCATTGCTGTCAGCAGATGTTGGTAGATATGAGGTAGACTTCTGATATTATGTTTCAAATGAATTATATAGTTAACTATTTTAACTGAACAAACTGGTTTCTACAGATAAAAAATAATATTGAAGACAAAACTATTTAATTTGGTCTGTGAATGTACATAAATTGGAAATGAGATTTAGAAAACTGCACAAGGGGCACCACCTGAAATCTTGCCTAGGGCCCCAAATTGGCTAGGGCCGGCCCTGATTCAAAGTCCTTGCTTTACGAAAATTCTTGTTAAACTGTATTTCCAGGAGAACGTTTCATCAGACGTGTTTGGTGCAGATTACATCGGCCCGCGCTCTGGAGAACTCAGACCCCGCCTTTACTACATCGCTGCAGAGGAGATCACCTGGGACTACGGCATCAAGAAACCACGTCAGTTCATCCAGAGGGAGTAAGAATATAACACCACTTTCACCACTTTTCTCTCCAAAATTATAAGAGAAAATATTTTAAAGGGCCAATATTATGTGTTTCTCAGGCATATATTTAAAAACTATACCATAATAAAGTATCTATGTCACCTTTAGTTGTTATTAAAATGCTGTTTTTATGTTTAAATAGAAAATAAACTTATCTTCTCATCACTTCCTCTTCTAAACGCCTTGAAATTGGCCTCTGTCTCTTTAAGAACCACCTTCCGCTTCCGTTTTGCCCATTGCTTGCGGGGGGGGGGGGGCTGCCATGATGCAGTTTACGTGGCATCTGAAAATACATTTTCTCAAAGGTATTTTTAATCTGAAAAGAGCTTCACTGAGTGAGAACTAATGTTGAGAGCTCAGCAGACAGTTAGGTTTCACTTTCACTTTCTCCCGATAGCCTGCAGGAGTCATGGGCGGGGTGTGTGGGGTGGGGGTGAGGGGATGCGCTCTGCCATGAGGAAGTTCGGCTTAAAGACACGTCCCAGGGGTGTTTCTGGTCCCCACCTGTCGTTTTGCTCCTCAGCATGGCTGCCTAAAAACGCTGCAGGATTTCTCAAACATGAATGAGTCAAAGCAAGGCTTTGGGCATGTTTTTTATGAGAGTATAACATTATAACATGATATAAAACTCCAAAAAGTTGATTTTACATGATATTGCCCCTTTAAAGGACTATATCTGACAGAGCAAGCAGCCAGTTTAACCGTACAGCGTTCCTTTCCTCAGAGAGATGCATCGAGGGATGAGGAAGTTCCTGCCTGGATATAAGAAGGTGGTGTTTCGAGCTTACAGGGACAAAGACTTCCTGCAACCTGTGAGTAGAGGGGAGCTTCAAGACCACTTGGGGATCATGGGACCCTTCATCAGAACGGAAGTTAAGGATCTCCTGACTGTGAGTATCTCTGCACCCTTTCTGTAAGTATCCACGATGACTTGTTCCCTAACGTATCCTGTCCTGACTCAGGTGATTTTTAAGAACAAAGCCAGCAGGCCTTACTCCTTTCATCTTCATGGCGTCTACGACCGAAATCAGGGGGCTGGTGTTGCACAAACCAGCTCCTCCTCTGCTCCGGCAGGGCCCCCCGGAGAGCCTGTTCCTCCCGGAGAAGCTCGAACTTATAACTGGAAAATAAGCAGGAAACAAGGACCCACTGACTCAGAGTTCGACTGCAAGACCGGAGCATATTACTCCACTGTGGATAAGGTTTGCTGCAGTTTAACTAGCATTCATCTGCTGTAGACTTACACCATAAGAATCCTCCATTACAAATGTAACACTGGAAAGTAATGCTGTGAATGCTGAAATTGTCACAGGAAAAGGACCTTCACTCGGGTCTGATCGGTCCACTGGTGATCTGTAAGTCCGGCACCTTGAAGAGTCGTGGGAGCACGCAGTCAGACATCCAGGAGTTCTCCCTGCTCTTCCACACCTTTGACGAAACTAAAAGCTGGTACCTGGAGGAGAACCTGCAGAAGTACTGTGCGCCGCCCTGTCAGGCCAACCCCGAGGATTCCTGGTACCACACCAGCAACAAATTTGCAGGTGGATGATCGATCCTGTAAAGTTTATTCCTTTCTTTTTGTATCGCATCTGTTTGTTTTCTTTTTAAATCTGAAATAATCCTCGTGTTTTTCATCAGCCATAAACGGTTACGTGGCAGAGACTCTTCCTGGTTTGACGGTGGCTCAGCATCAGCCGGTGAGGTGGCACCTCCTGAATGTGGGCAGTGACAGAGAGTACCACGCCGTGCACTTTCACGGGCTGCCTTTTACTCTGCATGATAAAGAAGAGCACCGTATGGGGGTCTTCAACCTTTTTCCTGGTAAATACAAACAAACACGTACATTTTAATGTATTAAACAAAAATAGATGTCAGTATTTGTTCTGCAGCTCATTCATTTTGTCCATTTTTTTTCAAAAGTTTTCCTTCAAAAGCTTCAATTTGTTTTAGCAAATGAAACAGCGTTTTGTACTTATTCTTCAAGGTGTTTTCGGGACGGTGGAGATGAGACCCCCCACAGTGGGAACATGGCTGGTGGAATGCACCATAGGAGACTACCAGCTGGCTGGAATGAGAGCCAAACTGTTGGTGTATAATCCACGTAGGTGATGTTTCTAATGTAGTTGGAACTACGCTTTGATAGATCTTCAGAGTCAGAAAGAAGTGGAGGATTTTCATAACAAACTGTTCTGGTTGTTCTTGATTTTAAGAAATTTTGAGAAAACCAAAATTCCCTGAATACTTTGAGTTGTTTACTGATTTGTTTCCAAATTGCTTTATCTTATTTCTGTCTTGTTTTGTGCATCTTTGTTGTCCATTTGGATCTTTTTCATGTTTCTTGACATTTTTTTCTGCCCAGTAGCTTTTTTACTTGTGCATCTTTCTGGTTGTTTATATTCACTTTGCATTTAGTTTTTGTTATCATTTGTTCTCACTTTCATCTTTTGTTGTTGTTTTGTTTTATTTTTTGGTCTGAATTTGATGATTTTTTGTGGATTCATTTTTCCTTTAATTGCCTTTGCGTGAGTGTGTGTGCATGTGTTCACTTGTCTGGTGTTAGCGAAATATTTCATGAACCACAAAATGGGATAGGTTATAATGAAATTTTCAGAAAGTAGTCATTAGATTTACAAATGTAAGTGTGTCACATTTGGCATCAGCTGGATTCAAGATGGCTGCCGCAGCTAATCTTGGCTAAGAAACGGCTTCACCTCAGTCAGTTTTACAAATATTGAGCTAAAATTTTAGTGTGGTAGTAGCTGAGACCCACCCCCATCACATACTCTGACCACAAACAGATTGCGCAGCATCTTTGTTTTAAAACATTTGCATACTGGAATCAACTACTGGACAAAACCCAACCATCAGGGATATTTTTTTATCACAATAGCTAATTACTGTATGTCACAGGCCTTTCCACAGTGTTTTTTTTTTTTTTAAAAAGGTTGCATTAGTTACAGAAATGGATAAGTAAGTGGATATTTTAGAAAGGCCTCCCTTGAAAAAGAGATCTGCAATCTCAACGGGACTTGCCTGGTTAAATAATGGTAAATAATGTACTTTTGCTATCACTTCTAAAGCTGTATGATTTCATCAGAAAATGTATTTAATGAATTTATACCAGTCATTTTATTTAATTGAGCTTTTACATTCTGAAATGCAGAATGTAACTATCCTCTGGGAATGGCATCAGGAAGAATTGAAGACTCGCAAATCACTGCGTCAGATCACATAGGTAAGATTTTTGGGTTGTTTTGCAACAAGTCAAACACTGACAACAGATTAAATGTTCTCACCTTTCTGAAGTCTGAAAACTGGGAAATTAGGCTCACGTGTTTCCATGTGCAGGTTACTGGGTACCAAGCCTGGCGAGGCTGGACCAGACTGGTATCATCAACGCCTGGATGGGAAAAAACACCAAATCATGGTTACAGGTTCGATCCTTAATGCTAAATCCTACAAGTTCTCACGCGTGATCTCGTTATCCTTCTCCAATGTAACACAGTGAATGTGTGTGTTCAGGTTGATCTGCAGAAGCCCACCCTGCTGCACAGTGTGCAAACACAGGGAGTGAGATCCATGCTGAAGGATCACTCCATCACGTTGTTCACCGTCTCCTACAGCCTGGATCAGGAGACCTGGACCACCTACAGAGGAAACAGCTCCACAAACACCATGGTTTGTTCACAAATCTGAACACAGTTACAGCTCATTAGTTCTGTATCACAGCAGAGACTGAAACTAGAATACAAGTAGTTTAAGGCAGTCGTTTTATTTGAAATATAATGTAATTTAGTTTAAAAACATGCTTTGTTGTAATAAAATGCGTCCAATTTACCAGCACAGTTCTTTAAGTCACGGTTGTGTGTCTCTCTTATAGATCTTTCATGGCAACATGGACAGCTCCAGAGTGAAACAAAACACGTTCTCTCCGCCGTTTGTGGCTCGCTACGTCAGGATCTATCCGTTCCGCTACTCGCAAAAGCCCGCCGTCCGCCTGGAGCTGCTGGGCTGCGATCTGAACAGTAAGTCGCACAAGTGGGTCAGATTGGGGGAAGATCACATTAAAAGCTGTGAGAACAACGTGGCACTTTTTGTTTGTGTGTCCAGGCTGCTCCATGCCCCTCGGACTCCAGAGGAGGCAGATTCCTGACAGCAGCTTCAGCGCCTCGTCGTTCCATTCGTCCCTGCTGCGCACCTGGAGCCCCAGCCTCGCCCGTCTGCACCTGAGTGGTGGCGCCAACGCCTGGAGGCCAAAAGTATGTTCCCGTTTGGTTGTCAGTACATTCAGCTGAGGGATATCACACTAATTAAAGGAGGAAATATGTTTTTTTATTTTAGTAGAGATAATCTATTTAAAATTTTCATTAAAAAACAAAATTTTTCCTCGATTTTTCGTCCTCATTAGCGCCACTTGACCTTTATCGTGACGTGATAAAAACCACAGACGCACATAGAGATTATTGGCCTTTCTCTTCTCAGTTTCTGTCCTGATAACACGCTGCTGCGCTCGTTTCCTCCTCTTCAGCTTATCTCTTAAACTCTTTCCAGAGCCGACCTCTCGAGGTGTGAGCTGCCCTTGTGGCAAACTGTTGAGCCGCTATCAGCGTTTGCACTTGACTCAGAGGTCAGCCAGTTTCGGCCAGCTTTTGTCTGGAATAGTTTCCTACAACTATTGCCAAAGACCGAACAAATACCACAAAATTATGGATTAAAACAATTTCATGGATGGCAGATAAAGGACTTTAAACAGAAACTATTACCCAGATTATTTACTTCTTCATCGTTATACTGAAACTGCCATTGGATTCTTATACTGGGTTTTTCTAATGAAACATACTTTTTACTTTATATTTAGTTTCTCACATGTACATTTATAACAATAGATTTACATTAAAAAAAAAAACAAAATGTAGATCTAAAGTTAAATGAGTTATTTTTGATAAATACAAGAGCTTTATACTGGTATGCCTGACTGATAGTGAGGTTTTTGCATCTAATAAACTTCCAACCTCTCTTTCTTTTCACTTGCTGTTAAAAACTAACTAAAAGTGTCTCATCCCTCCTCGTTGTGTCAGAACAACAACCCCCACGAGTGGCTGCAGGTCGACTTGGGGAACATCAAACGGATCACAGGCATCATCACCCAAGGAGCTCGATCGCTGCGGACCCAGATGGTTGTGACGGAGTTTTCAGTCACTTACAGTCAGGACGGACACTTCTGGAGCAGCGCGTTGGAGCCAACCTCCAAAACAGTACAGGTTTGCAGAAAAGCTCAACATCTGGTTTTTCAGTTGAAACGTGACTAAACCGGTCACAAGTGAGCACATTTTTTCACGATGTCGAACAAATGGATAAGTTTCCTTGCCGTTCCTTGCACTCCTCCTCAGATTTTCTCAGGAAACAGTGACCCAGACAAGGAAGCGCTCACCGTTTTCAACCCTCCTCTGTTCGGCCGCTTCATTCGCGTCCACCCACGCGGCTGGATCAACGACATCGCCCTCCGGCTGGAGGTGCTGGGCTGTGACACCCTGCAGGGAATTTGACACCATACTGTCTGAAGTCCATTTTTTCTGTAGTCAAAACACTGTTTACATTTTTTCACTTCTTTTTGTATTCAATAAAGAGCATAGTTATTTATAAGGTATAATATTGTGTATATTAAAAGTTTTACCTGCTTATGCAACACAGTTGAGCCGACAGGAGAGTAAACCTTTTGTATGTCAGCTTGTGTACATTTCTCTTAATCATATTGATGTATATTGTTTGACTAGTTGTATATTATTAAGAAAAAATATATATTTTTCTGCATTGTTTGAGATGTGAAAAACTATAAATTTATTGAGAAAATATGTTGCATTTATTTATTCCTCGTCACATATTTGTGGAAGGTGTGGACCCTGCGATGCACAATGATCCACTGCTCAGGAATGGAGACAAAGGGATGGACTGGGGCTGATGAGCAGGTGGGAAGCAGCTGTGCCCAATCAAGCAGGGAGCAGGTGTGAGTGGGTGGGCCAGAAGGACTAAGAAAAAGAACTAACGGCAGAGGAAAACATCGATTCAGAATTTATTCTTTGTTGTTGTCACATTTTAGTTCAAAGGAAAACTGTGTCCAAATTTGGGGGCTGCATCACAGTGATGCACCAGAGGCTGTCCAAATTCAAAGGTTTTTGCAATTGTGACCCACAAATGCATCCTCCTTTTCCCCTGATTAGACCAATAATACCGAGCTGCAGCAAACACGCCCCTTGTCTGCTACAAAACATGTTTGCTTTTGCTTAGGTGGCTAGGGAAGAAGTTTTTCAATGCAAACAATGAAGATTTAAAAATGAGGTAAAATGAAAAAATCTATGAAAAAATATAGGGTTAGCGTTAGTTTAATAATGTTAAGTCAATAAAACAAATAAAGATACAATACATTAGATAAAACCAGCGAAAAGTAGAGGGGCGTGTTTTAAGGAGGAGTGTCCTGTAACAGGTTCAGTATCCTTCTTAGACCATACAAACCAGAAAAAAGCACTGGGGCCAATCGGGACTTTGTTTTTGCAGGTGTACAGTTTTAAATAAAAATCCGGTGGTACAAAAATTTTAAGTTTTTATAGGTTGTGTTGTTACTTCAAGCCCTTTAGTTTCTCATGTATTGCCTCTAAGCTCATCTTTTTAATCTATAATATTAAAAATGTTTTTTATTTTCTCGTTTCGATCCATTTTGGATATTTGCTTCTGCTTAGCACAGTCGTTGCGAGGCGACAGGAGTAAGGGCAGGACTAGACCGCCACTTTCTTCCGGTTTTCCTGGTCGGCAAAGGACCTGGCCCACGCTGACCGAGTAGGCCCAGTCCTTCGAAGGATGCAGCCTCTGAATGGGGGCCTTCGCTCAGGATATTTTTAGAGCTCACACGCTCAACACTGGTGCATATACTCTTGTAGCAGCTCCATTGATTTCAGCTCCATTGACGTCAGGAGTGAAAGTCCCCATGATATTCGTGACGTCGTGAAGGTCTCAATGTGGGATCATCACTCGTGAAGTCACACTATTGCATATATCTTCTGCCGCTCTCTCAAAAGACCATGGGACAGTCGGACTAGATTCTATGGACTGGAGTCACTGTTAACAGAAAAAGACACATCAGACTTCAGGTTTAACAGGAAAGTGCTGGAGGGTCTTTGACAGACTTGGAAAGCAACCGGAATTATTCAAGACTAAGGATTAGGATAGTAGACAGTAGACATCCAATGGGCGTGGTCACGGCTTGCAGGGAAGGTTAATATGAGCCTTAAAAAATGGGAGTGGTTAATTTTAGAATTTAGCATCTGGCGTTGGTCAATTTTAGAGTTGAGGGCGGAGTCAGACGTCGGACCCCGCCCCATTCCACGGTCTACAGTCAGGGGTTACTCCAATTATTGGGTAGGTGTTTGAACTGGTGTCTTCGAGCTTTAATCGTTTATGGTCTGTGTGTGTGTCCGAGTGTATTTTTATCACTGAGCCACTGCTCCTGCATCGTTTAAAGAAACTTAATTGTGATGTTTAGAATTTCTGCAAGTATAATATATGTGACTGACTGCAGCAGAGCTCTGTGTGAGGCTAGCACTGGATGCTAGGAGCAACGCAACCAGTATCTGTTTATCGACAAAAAATGCGGGGAAGGATAGGGTGGTCCAGTGTTGGTATTTTATCTCCGATAAAATGTTTGGAGCAGTCGTTAAGTCCTTGGTTGCACTTTTTTTTCGGTCAAATTCAGCTTATCCAATTGCTTGAATCCAGCAGTTCGCTAGAAACCTAGCTTGGGAAAAGCGATCAAAAATACTCCTTCCATGTTGGGATAATGGCTGTATCCTTAGTCACTGTTATAAGAACCGCAGCAGAATTTTTTGTGGTCCTCCCGGTGGAGTTTGATGCTTTTTTTAAATCAAATTCATTTAAGTTTAAACAGCTTAACCTGCGCAGCTCCACTGAAATTAATGGAGCTGCTACAAGAGATTGTAGCGCAACAGAGGACACGATCACATAGTGAACTAAAAAAAAAGCCTGGGAAGGTCCCTGTTAGGGTCCTGTGTAATGAATGCATCAAAAGTATGCATGCTCAAAGTCACTGTTCAATTGAAAATTAATTGAAAATCTTTTAATGTGATCCACAGTGCATTTTATTTGCTGATGAGGTGTAGAATTGCTGTCAAACTATGGTGATCACTGACGAAGCAGGTAAACTGTGCTGATTTCAGATTTTTTGACATTTAGTCCAGTGAAACCTAAAATGCCTGCAACTGATATTATCTGATTTATGTTGCATCAATTAGAAATGAGCAGAAAATCCAGCAAAGCAATGGAAAATGGCTTGACATAACGTTTAATGAAAATGCGAGGCCTCCCTGTGCGTTTTTGCCCAGGAGCCCATGCCTAATCCTGACTTGCTCAAAACATTTCCCCCTTTTTAAATTTTATTTTCTAATTTCCTCTGGTCTTAACGGCAGATCAGTCCTGAGATGTTGTTTTGTTTCACGTCTGTACCAGTCCCTCCTGGCAAAATCTAGAAGCTGTTAAACTCCAACATTGTTCTGTTAAACTCTGAAATATGCCGCTGTGTTATAACAGAGGAAATTGTTTCACAGACAAAACAGCTTGGACGGGAGTTGGTGAGATCAACAAGGTGTATCCATGCCTTTGTGGGCATGTGTGAGTGTGTACTTCACCTCTAACCAAATTTTATCGCCTCATTATCAGCCAGGAAGTTTCCAGACCAGAGGTATTCAGGGGGTGTCGTGTTGTGTTTGGAGGACAGAGTGGACAGGACTTGTGTTGGCAGAAAGCTGTCACACATTTATCTCTTTGGAAACACAAACACACCAGCTGTTTTCTCATCTGCATTCACCTCTGATGGTTAGGACACGCAATGGAGGGGCAGATGAATCACCGGGGGGTGGGGGTGCAGAAGCGGTGGCCTGCTGCCCAAACGTGGTCACCTATCAGTTGCTGTTCGCGTCGTGTGAAAACAGCAGCAACAACAAATCCACACTGCATATGTCATATGTCAAACTCAATAGGTCAAAAATGGGGCTGCCACAGATTTTGATCTGGCCTGTGAGTGCTTCAAAGACTTTTCAATGTCTTTAAATAAGTGTATGCTGCTTTAAAACCAGCATTGACCATAAACTACATCTCCCATAATGCATGTCGATTATTTTTACCCTCGAAATGACAGGGTGGATGTGTACAGTGTTCAAAAGTAGCAGACAAAATTCACAGTGCAAAATTTCATTTAGTCACATTTTCGCCTGCTACTCTTTTGGGGCCCAGTTGTGCTGGGAAGTGGGAATTTCCCACTCACAAATTGCTTTAGTAGGAATTCCCAGTCGGAAAGTGGGAGAGTTTCGGATTCACTATTGTGGCTCCTCACCACAACTCAACAGTGACAACAAAACTCTTACTTTTTATAGTATTTCTGTATTCATTTCACATTTAGTCAGTCATACGTGTGGTACTTTTCAGTGTTTATCAGGAGACGTGTTAAAATGTTGTTTCTATGCAGGAAATACCACATAGAGCTCAGTTGTTGTTTATTACCGGTGCTCACTGCTCAGCCATGATGAGACGAGCAACGTGACGTTTCATGTTTAGTCAAAGTTAAACACAAAACACCAAAACTAATTACAACTGGCCTTTAGAGAGCAACCATAATGCTCATGTGGTCCTCGGTGAAGATGATTTAAACAACTCTATCTGAGAGTTTCATTTTGACCGGACTAGTCCAACAGGTGCCAAAATCAAATATGATCCCTTACATTTTTTAAACAACTTCAGTCTCCAAACTGTGGTAGTTTTTCATGCAAACCTTATTTAAAGCAGGGGTGTTAAACTTACTTACACAAAGGGACAAAATCAAAACTTCATCCAAGCCAAGGGCCATTCTCTGTCAGTATTTATTGAAAGAAATCTTGGATTTCAATGTTATATAACAAATTATTCAGATAGAAATACAAATGACTTTTTCCTAATTATATTTTATGTAGCAACATACATTACAACAGAATATAGAAAAAAGATTTAATTTAGAAAGACACACCATTAGCATTCATTTTTTATGCCTTACTCTCTATTAACAGCTTTTACATTTATTATTTCTTAGAGATACATTTTATGTATTGGGCCTTGGGGGTAGGGTCTGTGGTCCTCCACGGTCACTATTAAATATTCCAAAGGAGAAATCTTGTATGTTCACAACCGCACACAAACAGGTGTTCCGATCCTGGGGTTTCTGACGGTCACTGAATGTGTATATATACAGTATATATATATA